ATACATTTCGTAAGTGTAAATAATGTGATAAGACCGATAACACTGCGGAAGAAATTGTACACACAACATGTGTATACTTAGGTGTGTATGTATAATTAAGTTGCTAATGAGTTAATATTTAATGTTAATTTTAAAAGGTTTTTTATTTGTTGTGTAGGGACCAGCGCTTTTACGGGAGAGAAAAGGGATAGAGGATAGGGGTGACTTTATAGAACACCATATATGTTTTCAGTTGGGTGCGGAGAGACGGGGGTGAAATTGAAGAATCAAATAAAATTACATAAGGATAGATAATGGGACCTTTTGTCGGGGAGATAGGGCTCGTATCTAACAGTAAAAATGCAGGATAACTGTAGGTATAGATATTTACAGGGGCAAAAGATAAGTATGCTTAGATTTGCAGATGATATAGCATCTAACAAGGAGGAGTTAGAGATAGCTTTAAATAAAATGGAAGCGGTTGACAAAATAGCATTCTATGAAAATAAATGAAAGTACAATAGAAATTGGGAAAGAGCGAATATAAAGATAAGAAACGAAAAATTAGAAGAAGTGGATGATTTTTGGTATCTAGGAAGTCAGATAAGTCAGGATGGAAGGAGCAGCAACTTCAACAAAAATAAATCACTTCTATGCTCGCAATCGGTTAATTTAGAAATTCGAAAAATTGTTAAAAGGTGTACTGGTGCGAAACATAAACGGTGAACGCGACGGAAAAAAAAGGTTAGAAACGTTTGAAATGTGGTGTTACAGACGAATGATGAGGATATCGTGGACAGGGAAGGTTAGAAATGAAGAGGTATTAGAAGGAATAGGAGAACGTAGGACTCTATGGAAATCAATAATAGGCGAGATAGGTTAGTAGGACATTCTCCGGCATGAAGGTCTAGTCGGAGATATATTAAAAGTAGAAACAGGAGTTAAGAAGGGTAAAGGTGGACCTAGATTACATTAATTTTCAGAAATAGTTAAGGTTGTCGGATGTTCTAGTTTTAGGGAAATGCGAAGATTAGCACACGATAGGAAAGAATTCACGTGCGTGTCCTACTAGTCTTAGGACTGACGACTTTATGATAATGATGAGCACCCGTGGACTGTTTCTGTGTCTTTTAACATTAGAACAGGATAGTGAACAAAACAAGTACTCGGATTGTCGAAAAAGTAATTCCATTTTTCGAAGCGAAACGTCATCACAAAATAAAAGTTGAAGCGTAACTTTTTCTGGTTTCCCGCAGAAAGAAAATACGGAAGGCTTAAAGCCCCTAGCTCGCTCGCATTGGTCGCCTTTTAGATTTATAGTCAGTTGGATTTTAATCTGTACGCACTTTAATTCCACCAGACGCTTCTGCTTTATGAATACACGTACGTATAGATAGTGATACACATGCGTTAGTATTGAGATTATATTTTTGCTCTAGCGAATATTTATAGGCGTTAAGTCACGAACTAAACATTTTCAAAACAGACTGCAAAATGTGTGTGTGTATCTGCTCTTTTATATCGTCACTTTTATTATCGTTGGATGATAATTTAGTACACTACAAGTAGAATAATGATCTTGTGGCTTTAAATTTATGCTGAGTTAAACATTTCAAAAAACTAGTAAAAAGGGTCAACTTCTGATTAAACTTGATTTTTTAATTTTGATTTTCATGGATTTTTTGCAAAAATTGAAATTTTTTCAAACAGTCTACCAAATGGAATACATGAACTGCTATTCAATTTTAATTAGATATCACATTATTGGCACAACAGTAATGAGTTGTCAAGTTCATGTTTGGAGGGCGGCGCTGTACTTAGGACTGACGACGTTGATGCTGATGATCACATTATTAATAGGTCTATAAAAAAAATAGATTCCTCATAGAACAATTTCTTTCTTATGAGAGGCTACTTTTGTGTATTCTTTACACTACTTTTTTAACGATATGCGTTCTTAGCTAGTAAGGCCTCTAACCTCAACTTCTTTGTTAAAATTAAATTCTGTAGGTAGCTAAATAAAAAGTTCAGTGATCTATTTTTATATCTTCCATTACTGATCGATGCAATTATTTACTTAAATTTTTTTCTCTGTTTCATTCGGTATTCGTTTACTTAGTCTAAAAGTACCCTTATTACTCACATTTTGTTTTGATGATAAATAATTTTCTGGATTCCCTAAACTGTAGTAAATAAACGATATGGCTTTATTGGAGTAGTTTTGTGTTATTTTATTGAAAATTATTGTACTCTCAACTTCCGTGCCGGCTCAAATATCGCAATTGTGCGTTTTTGTTTTCCATGTTTGCGGAAGTTAGTCTCTACAGATATTTCAAGTGTGCTCTGAATTCCTCTCGTCGTTTGTCCTTGTGATTTGAAAATATGATTTATTTTTCGTCAACAGTAGGCACTTGTACAGCGTAGTAGGTTGTACTCAAAATAAATACATGCATGCGCTAGTATTTCGTACTTTAATAAATCGGGTTTGTTATCAACTGTGAAGTACCACTTAAGTTAAAAAATCCACAAACTATTTGTAACCGTTTGACTACAATTAATCACAAAAATTCCGCGATCAAAAGTTGTCTACACACACAGACAAATAAACAGTTACTTTAACTGTATCAAAATAGATAGGTAAAAATGCATTTTTATTAATTCCGTTTAGTGACTGTTAAATTATTGAAAGTTTAGTCATGGAGCAGCTAGAGATGTGATAAATTTTTGGTACAAAGTTCTTTCAAAGAAGTACTAAACGTAAAATTATTATGAAAAATGCATTCGAAAGTTGATTTATATCAACATTTGAATAATGTTTTAGAAACTTCTTTAAGTTTCATCTAAACCAGTGCAACATAACATAATCATCAAGTTTAAACATAATAGTGGTACACATTTTTTAATTACCGTGTAAATTAGAAATACACGAGATAGTAATTTTGCTGGATACAGGATAACCGAGTACCCTGCGGTAGTTCTGCTCAGGACCCTGCTGCAAAAATGTTTAAAAATTGTTATATTATATACATCATTCAAAATCCCTCCATTTTAATGATTTAATTTTACAATACTTTTTTTGATGTAATTTTTTTACAGTGATATTAATGTAATACGGACATGGTTATATTTGTTCTGATTTTCTAATGGAACTAGAATTGAAGCTTCTAAATCAATTTAATTTTATGAATTTTCTTCGAACTCATAAAAATTGTAAATGTATGATACTTATCATTCTACTTATTTTCTTATTTTGTTTATTTTTTCGCCATGATTAAATTTCGCGTCACTTCCGGAAACCCGGTACCATTATCTGGTACCCGGCCGTATTTCAAAAAGTGCCGGATCCAAACCGGATACGCGCCCTATGTCCAGCTTAAGTATTGTAACATGTTATTTTTCACATTTAGTGGGTAAATTCTTCAAGAGGTTCGTTAAAATTTGTTATTTTTGAATAAAAATACCAGTACAAATTTATAATTATTATAAGTCGTTAATAAGTGTATTATATAATTTAACTAATTGTAAAATAAAAGAAAAATAAAATATTAAACTGAAGCGAGAACAAAATGTCTGAGCTGGCTCACAAAACGAAACGACCACGCTGTTGCTATTGGGAACGTTTTCTGCTTACCATTTTAACTTCCTTCGGAAATGGAGTTGATAAAATACATTTGTCGTTTATTTTTGGGAGAATCAATTTTCAATTTTTATAAATACGTGTATCTATTTTATACTTACAAAAAAATAAACTAAATTGTAGACCACACAGAACCTTACTGTACCAACTCCCAATCACTTCTTGTCTTCATCTGCTCATCAATCGATAATCCTGTTCATCCCCATCCAACATACGGTATCCCCTTCCCTTTTCACTATACTACTCATTCACAGGTGGCTTTTCGCACATAGAGAACTAGCCTTCACAGAAATAGGACACTGTTCTTGGAAAATATACCAGTGAATACAGATCGCTACAATGCATTTTTAGTTCTTCATTTAGCTGGGATTTCTCATACCCTTCTGCTTCAGAATTTTCGCCTGTTCGTCCACGTGGATGTTAGATAATACCCAAGCCGAAAAAATACTTCGACCTTTTCTGCTCTACAGTCGGTTTAATTACCAAATACTTGGCCTCATATTTAATTATATAACATTAATCAAATCATCTATTAATTTAAAAATTATAGACGTAGGTCATCATCATAAGGTCATCAGTCCTAAGACTGGTTGGGCACGTACCTCCAACTCTTTCCTTTCCTGAGCTAAACTTCGCATTTCCCTAAAACTAGAACAACCCACATCCTTAACTATTTGCGAAGAGTAATCTAATCTAGGTCTGCCTCTACCCCTACTAACTCCTGTTTCTGCCTCTAATATGTCTCTGACTAGACCTTCATGCCTGAGAGTCCTCTGTTCTCCTACTCTTTCCAATACCTCTTCATTTCTAATCTTCTCTATCCACGGTATCCTCATTATTCGCCTGTAGCACCACATTTCAGACCCGTTTTACCTTTTCTATTCCGCCGCGCCCACCGTCCATGCTCACACAATACTGTTTTATCAATATCGCTTCCATTTTATTTAGAGCTATCTCCAACTCCTCCTTGCCAGATGCTAATTCTGTTATATCATCTGCAAATCAAAGCATACTAATCTCTTGCCCCTGTATATTTATCCCTACAGTTGTACTGTCTTTGATGATGTTGATCGCGTCTTCGAGATATAAATTGAATGGTAGCGGTGACAGTGTGTATCCTGGAGTCTGACTCTAACTAACTAAGTATTACTCTTCTATCTCTGTAACTCATCCCTAAAAATTATAAAGACCGAATAATCGGTGTTGGGCTAAACGACTTCGTCACATCTATTCTAGTCACGTGAATTCGTCAAGTACAAATATGAAACAATAAAATATTATAATAATAACTAATATAATTGAAACGTTTTGAGGACTTCATGCACGTAAATTACGAATGAGTTTATTTTCTGCAAATGGTGACACGTTTTTATTTTCTTTTCAGGTCAACGGCGATGACGAGTGGGAATATGAGGAGATTATCCTCGAAAGGGGTGGCGCGGGTTTGGGCTTTAGTATCGCCGGCGGCACGGACAATCCCCATGTCGGCGACGACAGCGCTATCTACATCACAAAACTCATACCGGGGGGTGCGGCTGCCGCCGACGGCCGTTTACAGGTCAACGACGCAATCCTGCAGGTGAACGACGTGGTTGTTGTAAATGTTCCTCATGCTGTGGCGGTCGAAGCCCTTAAGAAAGCCGGAAATACCGTTAAATTGGTAAGTCAAAAAAACTAACTTCAGCTATCATTTTCGGTATAAATTGTGTAGCTTAAACAGGATGACCGCCACCCCCCCCTGAAAATACCGGAAAAAGTCCAGAAAATTGAGTAGGTAGTAAAGGAAATCGAAAGCAGAGAATTATTTTATTGTGAATTGCATTTCTCATTTGAAGCATTTAGAACACCTTAAATGTGCTGCAGGAAAAACTAATAAATCAAGTGAAAAACCAAAAAAAAAATCAGGGTAAGGTGGGTAAAGGTGGCCACCCCGTAAGCGATAGAAAGGTACGAAAAAAAATAAAATCAAGTCTTACTTCCTAGAACGACAATCATATATATTAAAATCCATTTATATCTAACTGTATTCTTAATTGGCCAGAAAGGTATACTCAAGTACTTATAAAATACTCGTTTATTATGCTTAGCGAACTGTAATGAGATGACAGGTGTTATTTTTTGGTTCGAAATGAAAATATTTGAAAATCAATGATAGGCACGAGCGTACGCAAGGAGTCCTACATTTCAAATTTCATGACTGCTTTTGAAATGACTTCAAGAAACCGTTGTCAAATACAGCTGAATAATTAAAGATAATCTGATAAAAATGTGCACAAGTTTCAAAAAGGTTTATTATATCTACGTTATAAATCGGTTAGGGTTGTTGTGTACGTATTTTAAAGATAATTTCTATAAACACAAGTTTCAGAACCGAGTAGGGTCAAAGGACCATGTTTTATCAAATTGACGTAATAAAAATTTTTTAAAAGTAATCTTGAATTTGTGTACCGCTTTACAGCACTCCAATCATAACATTTCCTACCGTAACCTTACCTAACACTTCACCCTGTTAGTCTCCCTGACCGCTTCACATCATTATATATTTTCACCCCCCCCCTTTTTTAACAACTATCAGTTTTATCAATACTCATGACCTTGCAAATATAATAATAAATTCCTCCCATTATATTGTGTTGTTCATAGTGTTTTTTGAGCTTGTAATTATTCAAGATTGATATGTTGCAAATATCCAGTGTTGGATAAGGTCAGAGGGGTATACCCCCCTGCTATTTTATAACTATCAGTACTCTCAGCATTTATGGCCTTGCAACTATTCCAAATTCCTCCCATTATACTGTTGTTCATAGTGTTTTTGAGCTTCAAAAAATGCAGAAAACTAATGATTCAAGACTGATATTTTGCAAATATCAAGTGGTGGGAAAGGTCAGAGGGACATACCCCCTCCTTTTATTTCACAACTATCAATATTATCAATACTCATGGCCTTGCTACTATAATAATAAATTTCTCCCATTATTGGGATACGTCAAATGGGAGGAGCCTAAAAACATGGCGCCGATTAGGGAAAATTTATCGTAGTTCCTATAGTGTACCGTGCAATTTCCAAGTTTTTAAATTACGATAAAATGATAAGTATTGACACAATATGTGATTGGGCTGACACAAAGCCTCGGAAAGGAAATTTCGTTAAAGGTGAGCGTGTTTTTAATGCCAATCACATTATAAAATTCGGAAATAACAAATCCGGAAGCTAGCCTTCAAATTCCGTCAAGTTTACTGCCTACTTGTTACAAACTTCGGATTTAAAAAGTGATTCACGTTATATAATTGGTGAGGTGATTCTGGGTGATTTAAACAATATTATATCAATGACTTGCACGTGCAAAGCCGATTTAAGAGAACGTTGCAAACACATTATTGCAACTTTGTTGAATTGCAGCAGGTAGGTTCTTAACCTCAAAATACTTATATCGTATCATTAGAATTGTGTTAAATGAATTACACAGGAATAAATAACTTCTCACTTTATAATTTTAGTATGATTCTGGTTTTAAATATTAAGGTTATGGCATTAAATGACGTGAACAAATTTTTATTCCGGAATTCACTTCTTTGATACCTACTGCTTTCATCCAAGCTTCTATTAATTTACTTTTTTCTCTAATTTTCCGAATATATTTTTTACATATATAAAACGGTTAGTTTTTATTGGAAAGTAGTTAATATAAGAGTGAAGATGTATATCTTGAAGTACTATTGCAGCTTTTCACTGAACATATTAACTTTTTATTTGATTTAACTTTAGAATAAAACTTCGTCGACTCCATCATCAAAAAGTTTTTTACATTTTTAACGTGTTTTATTATTTTAATAAACAATTTTACAATTTGCGTGCTCAGTTCCTTTGTAAATTTTTCCCTCATTCGAGTTATAAATTTTGCCACCAGATGGTGTATGCCCATTTGACTGATCCCAATACTGTGTTCGTAGTGGTTTTGAGCTTCAAAAAGTGCAAAAACTTGTAATGATTCAATATTAATATTTTGCAAATGTCAAGGGTATTAGACGAAAAGGTTGTAATATCTGGTAAGTCATTAATTTCGAAAAACTTTGTTTATTAGGTACTTGCCCTAAGCAACTGTTAACTTATCTAAAGTTTTACACGTTCTCTTTTTTCCCTGTTCTTTGTTTTACTGCAGGGTTCATCCGTGCAAAAAATATCGCTACTTACTAATTACCTCTCCGCTAATTATTTCAGCTACTAGCTTTGTCCATTATGAGTTAGAGAGCAAAATGGTGTCTGATCCTGCCTTAACTAAACCACCTAATTCTCTCCAAATGTGTAAACTTTTTGCTTGCAAAAACCCCCTTCGCCTATCGTTATTGCCTACAAAGCACGTTTATCAAAAAAAGCGTCGTTTTTCTGAGATGGGAGCGTTTCTCCTTTATATGTATAAATTTAGTAAACTTGATTATAGCGTCATACTTTTTTGATGTAATAATTGATTATTAATTGAAGTTTCCGCAGTAGAAATTTAAAAGACAAACTGAAAAGTTTCGGACACACTTTTTGCATTAACAACTAAGTAAACGTCAACAAAGGCAATTGATGTGGTGGACTACTTATTTTGCCTATCGAGGCGCAGACATGAGAAAGTACTGTCAATAATACGACTGTCTGAAGGATTTGCACTAATAAAAAATGACGTTATATCCGAGATTTCTAGCGTTAGTTTAAATGGTAAATTTGGGGGACTATTACAAATGTTACATTGAAGTTGTCGTTATAACCGATGCTGTTATAACTGAGATCCACTGCATTATTCACGTGTCCAGTATTCTAACTTAAAATTTTCCATTTAGACTAGACGACGACTGAATTTTAAGTGGGAACATATTTATGGCTCGATAGCTAATAGCAAAAAGGAAATCCTTGTTGATCAACTCATCATCATAAGGTCGTCAGTCCTAAGACTGATTGGATTTGCACCTCCACTCTTTCCTATCCTGAACTAATCTTCGTATTTCCCTAAAACTAGAACAACCCACATCCTTAACTATTTGCGAACAATACGCTAATCTAGGTCTACCTCTACTCCTCCTAACTTCCGTTTCTGCCTCTAATATGTCTCTGATTAGACCTTCATGCCTGAGAAAGTGTCCTACCAGCCTATCTCGTCTATTTCTTATTGACTTCCATAGAGTCCTCTGTTCTCCTATTCTTTCCAATACCTCTTCATTTCTAAGGTTAGCTTTTTGTGATACAATATTCGCAGTTTTTGTATTTTTAAAGGAAAATTTAAAACATTGGCCTAGTTGTAAACAGGCCTTTGGGAGAAGATTACGATTGCGCTAGCTTGGAGACAGCTACAGTATTTCTTGTCAGTTCTTATGTTTTAAGGGGATTCTTTATAAATTTAAGATCTAGGCACGGTTGTAAATGGCTCGTAGTAGATTTCATAGAAGCTTAAATTAAATATTTGATCACGCCGCTTACTAACAGGCAAACATTTAATTTTGCCAAAACTTGACAAAAAAAACTGTTTTAATGTTGTGTTTTGGTTTTATGCCAGGTTCCTGAACATGCATCAAATTGTCATAGATCAATGGTAAATAGATTGTTGTTACTACAAGCAGTTACATCACTTTTTCTATTAAAACTAAACGCTCAAATTTTTGCTAAAAAGGTCGGTACTATAAAAAAAAAAAAACGTTACAGAACCGATATTAGACGTAACCTTCGGGTCTATTTTGGTTACTTTCAAGGATTGACATAGTTCGGTTGCCAGACTATTTTTATTTCGAATTATTTCGATGAAAATTTGTAATTGTAAATACGATTTGAATGTAACTGTCAATCAAATTGAAATCAATCTAGTCGTTATATCACAACAGCTATCACAAACGTTGAATTGATGACTAATTAAACGCAAAAGTGAAATTGATTGGCTTTTCTAATGTTTTACATAATGCATTGGCATGCAACCGTTCAACTGTACTTCATCCTCAACTCAATTATTGTAAAACTTAAATTATATGTACATACATTAATAAGAACCTTTTCTTAAAAGGCAATAATTTCTTATCGTTAGACATGTTAATGCCGCAAATAAAATTTGAAAATGAATTCAAAAAAGGAAAATTTTGACAGTATTTAAAATCGTACGGGTTCATATTACAATGCCATGACGTATAGTTATGAACGAATGCCGCAGACGATCGATATCGGCGGCACCTTTAAACTTACGGGAAGTTTCCGCTTTACGGAAATAATAATAAAGAGTATTACACGAATAACAGATCAGCTTCTGGCGGGATATCGTCTATATATGAGAGTATGAAGGCAGTTGTAAGCAGTATGATAACAATTCTTGTATAACTTGTTCAAAACCTTATTAGGCTCAGGGCTAAGGTTCATGAGATTCTGAACTACATCTACCCAGCCTGGTCCACTGGGCTAATGCTCGGTTAATATTCAAATACCAAGGTTCTGTACATTAACGTTTTGCAAAATCCAATCTTCAAGTGCAAAGGTTCTGTATATACTGGGTAGGAAAGTATTCCCAATATATTGAGTAATATTCAGTTTCCTACAAATAAATACAAATGTTTCATCATCCAACTTCATCAATAGATGCCATAAACTTCAATAATTTTGCAACAAAATTATATAGTAGTAAGCTTTAAACATTAAAAACA